TAGGGAATTTTATGGTGATTTTTAGTGACGAAAAAATCAGTTTCAAGATTTTTGTTTCCTATTATGACGTTTGGTGATCATCATTCCCGCGAGACCCACAGCGAGTATAACCTGCAAATTAGCCCAGGATGTGGACCCTGTTGTCTCCGACCCGCGGCCCTAGGCTCACTACTAGCTGTTGGCACGCCGGCCAAGGCTTGTTATACGAAGAAAGCGCAGGTTGGGGGAGGAGTTGTGAATACCTGAGGTAACTCCATGTTAGTGTCAGTCGACTGGCATGAAAGAGTCCAGAGGGCCATGCGTAACCCCTGCGTATCTACGTGCTGGTCGAGTTGAGAGGCATTCGAGTATGCCCGAGGTCAACAGCACTCCTTGTGGGACCTTGGTCATGAGTAAACTTGAATTGGAAGGCTTTGGGATAGGAGGGCGATCTCGTTCAGAACACAAGGTGAGGGGCATCTCGGCTGAGTTGTTCGAGTCGAGCGCCGTCACGCCAAAGACAGCGGAGTCGGGCCTGCGGACTTTCCCTGCTATAAAGACGTCCTCACCGTCGGAGGGTGTCCTCAAAGAGCTCGAATTGGAGATGCTTAGAGCGGTCAGGGCTGATGACCCTCTACGTGTTAGGAAAATACTGGTAGGATTTGGGGGTTTTAGTGATGTAGTAGTGCGATAATAGTGACGATTCTGTAAGGCTGGTAGAGCGTGATTCAGCAACAGTGGCTTTGCTTAACACGTTGTAGGCTTGGACAAAAAATGGGGAAAAACGTCACAGTTTCTGGCTAAAACGTTTATAACAGGTCACTTCGTTTTGGTGATCAGGCGTCGGGCTGTAGAGCGAACCCACAGACCTGTCCAAGTGATAGCTTCCTGTTGGAGTCAACTAGTCTCGAGGTCTCCCTCCTTCTCTTGGATGCTGGAGCTGATGTAATTCACCAGAAGACGAGGAGCTTGTCAAAGGGTTGTAGGTGAACGTGAGCCGTTCGAGCGATGGTGACAGTCCGCTCATGCTGGCAATACGGAGTGGTGACACGCGGATGGTTCGGTTACTCTTACAAGTAAGTTGGTTACATCGAAGTATCCAGAATGCCTTACAGTATGGTGCTAACCCTTCTGTTCGGAATCGACGAAATGAATCTCCACTGATCCTGGCTGCTCAGCTCAACAAACATGAGATTTATTCACTTCTCATGAGAAGGTAAAATGTCTTAGATCTGCTACTAGGACGCCGCTCGTATGGGTTCAGGTTAACAGCATGCATGGATCGTCATAGGGAGTTATAGCTCATTTAGGACGACTTTCCATCTAGTTCAATGCCTTGTATTTTGTATCCGTGTTGTAGCATGGTAAAATGGAGCTTATTTCACTGACGAATATGCAATACTTGAGTTAATCCGAAGAGCCGGGCTGGGGAATTACTTCGACGGTAGTTGATTACTACTATCTACTTGAATGTCACGTCAGGAATGGTGGTGTTTGCTAGAAGGCCCGTCAATGGATGAACCAGTCTTCTGTTTCCCTATAGGCGACTACAGTGGCAACAAAGATGAGTGTGAACTCCAAATATAACAAAGCGTTTTTTCCATAGAATGTCGATTAATGACGTCATCCATGCACATTATATCACGAGAATAGTTCATAAGTTCGATATAATCCGACTACCATAATTCATAGTTAATAAGGTCATCCAAGCCTCACAGTTCGTCACGATAATGGTCTCGGTTAGTTTAGCCCAGACTCTGGGCCCAGAGCTGGTAAGTAGGGTAATACTCGTCTGTTTCTGGCTGCGTAGAGGGACAGTTTTCCGCAGTTTTTTTTGAAGTTTCCATACACTCAACCACGTCCTACCTAACGTTGAGGAAATGCAAGATTTGATAAGAACGCAAGATTGTGTGGACATAGATTGACAGCGGTCCATAACTATTGTACGTGGTCTGCCTCACCGCGTCTACGACCCCCTTACGGGGATGTTACTGGAGGGGGGTAGGCTATATGCTTGTAATGCCCAGCAATAAAGTTTGAATTGAATTAATAACGAGTAATTTGCAGTGTAAATTTCACACTAAATTTTCCAGTGGTCAATACAGTTGGAGTCTGAGGACCACATTGAAAGGCAAAGAGAAATTAAAGCCATGTATCGGAAACCAGATCATATCTCGTTGCAGAGTAGATATGTTATCTCGCTCGCCCACTATTTATGAAACGCATAGATATTCGAGCGAGCCATGTTACGACCGTTTCATGCCGAGCCTATCTCTGATGTTTGAGTTGAACGGCTCGATCGCTGGTATGGCTCGATTCAGTGCTCTGGAATTTGCTTTAATGAAATTGGTCCAGGCTGGACCGTCCAGCGATGTAGGCTACATCATGTAGCCGCCCCTGTCAAGGGATTTCGTTTGGTTCCATTAAGTGACATAACTTAGTAGCTCAACTCTAACATTAGAAATCGTCTCAACTTGAGCCGACTTTACTCGGAAGTTCAATAGTTCTCTGTCTCAGTTGATCATTATATACGATAGTGAACTCCTCTCTCTCGCTGGCACCCTTTCTCATGAGCGATGAGCCAATCGGTGGAGCTCCAATTACTCAACCTTTCGTCAGAGATGTACCGGTTTGTCCGTTGGTATTTCCAGAGACTGAAGTGCTTTGCAATCCTTGCTCGAGGGCTTTCCCGTGTGGTCTATCCATGCGGGGCTATCCATAATTCCTGATGGTAGTATTTTCATTTGGGAAGCTATGCTAATAATTGACGATATGAATGCAACGTTGTGAAGAGTGATTCTCGATGCGAGATTCTCTTGTTGTGCTGCGCGCGTCTGTACGGCGCGAGATATGATACTAAGGATCCTGCGATGCTGGTGATAGGTGAGCGGCTCACCTACATAGTAAAGAAACGATCTTGCACACATGCA